AGCTGATTTTGTTTATGCCTATCTTATAGCTAAAAGAATGCACTACACGAATCAACAAATATTTGAAACAATACATATTTTTGTTAATGAAAACCCCACTCGAAATGAATCTACCCGCAAAAACAGTAGTTGCGTTCCAGATGCTTCACGATATTCACGAAATTCACGATTTGCAGGAACAGCTGTTTTCTCCATTAATAAACCTTATGGGAGGTGGTCACCTGGAACGACTTCCTGTAAAAACCTGCAAATCGTGAAGCATCTGGAACGCAACTAGTGTACCTAGCAGTTATATGTCTCGTGAAAATATTCGTAAAATACTGGTATTTTCAATAGAAAAGTGTGGAGTTTTTGTGTGTACCAAGGTGTATTTAACAAGTTGGTGTTAGTCGTATATAAGTAAAAAATTACTCTAACAAATTATACCCAGATATCCACACTGTCATTGGTAAAAGTTACAACAAACACATCATTTTGACGTAATGCTCTCTACGGCCAGAAACTCAGCTGTCGCCCCAACACCACTTTGTTAAATACACCTTGATGTGTACGTTATGGAAAAAGTATCCCAAAGTTAGTTTTTATAATTTTTTGTAATTATTAATAAATAGTTTTGTTAACACGACTTGGTTTATGAAACAATCCTTTTAAAAGTACTTTTGCGAACATTTTTAAGGTTTTAAAAAATTGCAGGTGTTTGCAGGTCTTGGTAATGATTTCAAAAATAGTTTAACTATTTACATAGCTTGACGTTTCAATATAAATAAAGTCCTTCAGCGATAGCCTATAATTTTAATGCATTTATTTCAATGTGTCCCCGTGCAATTACTCATATGGAGCTTTTTGATGAGTGGTTGAAGTTCAAAGTTTTGAAACCTAATTAAATACTTGCTACTATCTTCCGGCCCTGTTATATCCGTTATATCGGTCAAAAAATAAAATTATAAAACACAAAATTAATCTCGAATTTGAAGCTGTAAATATGCTAAAACCGCCTGTTGAGCAATTGTCAGTTGATATCCCATCGGATTTTAATGACGACTAATATTTTTGAGTTTTTCGACATTTTATTTAGACATTTAGAGTAACATGTATATACTATATAGTCATTGAGTATTACTCAAGTATCATATGCTTAATATCACTTGTTATTTCTAAATTAAGAACTCGAATTTTTGCTAAAAGAAAAACTGAGTTTCAACGCAATAAATAATACTGAGTGTTATGTGAAACTAACTTCACAGTTTTTATGTGGGTATTAAGTGGAAAATGCAAAAATGCGCTTAATTCTTGCAAGTTCATTTATGTTAAACAAGACATCAAAATACATTCATATAGAGAATGTATTCTTCTGGAAAAAACTATGAAAATGGATACTGCGACATAACTTCAAAATGTTTCTGAAAATATGTCTGGAAAGGAGGTATTGGTTTAAATGTACCCTTTCGTAAGCATATCATAGTGTTCGAATGTGAGAATAATCGGTTACAATTCGTAGGAGATACCTATTTGTTCGTGCTAAATGTGAGCTCTGAACCACTGTGCGCCTGATAAAATTGTACCAGGTGAAGTAAAATTTTCTATTGATTTGACACTAATTAAATTTTTTTTTAGCCGAATGACAGAAAATAAAGCGAGAAAGCTGTTTTATGACTTCACCTGTTTATTGCGCCATGTTCAATCCGCATTAAAAAAAATTATTAGTATACTTTTTGAAATTATAGTCAGCTACAAAGAGAGCCAAATGTTGTTATCCCTGAATATGCCTTGGACTCGACTGTCATGGGACGCGTACAGTTCGTCATTCTATCTTCTTCCGGACCACCATCACTCGGACGAACAAGCCATAGCCTTGCGTATAATGTTTTCTTAAGCCACCATCTCATTCGACAGCGTCCACGTCCACGCGCCAAATAAAAGAGCGGGCATGAGAAGAAATTTTTAGAATATAGGCCCTTATTATGAGTTGCATTCGATTTTCGATCTTCGCTGGCTATCGAAGATCGAAAGTGAAATTCTTATCATGAGCTGTGCAAGCGTGTCGAAATTTTGGTTGAGCATCGAATTTTCTGTCGAACAGACATTTGCTTTCGTTGGTATATCGAAGTGTTAGAAAATTATGAAAAATTTAGGATTTTGCATTTGTTTTCTTACTCTTTGGCGGCTGGACGCTAATTTTAAAAAATTGTTTATTGATTTCATGCCGTTTTAACGTCGTGAATACTAAACACAAGCTCGAAAGGCTGATTTTACTTATGAAAGAAAATCCCAATACTCTGTTGGCACAATCTCTGAGAACAAAATTATATAGCTGTTTATCGTTTTAATATATTTTAAATAGATTTGAATCACAAAATTTCTTAAATATACTGTATGTCAAAATATATTCGAAAGACTACATTAAACTCTCTTAAACATTTTCTGCTCCTGGCAAGTTTTCTAAGCTCTCACCCTCTGACGAATCGTTGAACCAAAACTCCGTTGTACTAATTTTTACCACGTTTTCATAAACTCGATTTCTTTTTTATTTCATTTTAATTTGCACAAATTTACAGTAGGTTTGTTCGTCGAAAATCCAGCAAGAATTATCCAACACTCAAAATATCAGAGAGTAAGAAAAAATTCTCTCAAATTCTCTCTCATGTTGAGAAACGTGCAAATTTCTGCACGAACGCAAATTTGCAGGAATTTGCAAGTTTCGCTGCCAGCTGGCGTCCACGGTTGCATTTCAAACATAAAAAATTTTTATAGAATTTTTAAAATTCTTTCGGATGGCCAAAAACAGGATATACATGTATATTTCTTGTTGTTCTGACTTTCTTTGACATACATTTCAATTTCTTCATCGTACTAGCTGTCGGGTTTCTTAAATCGACTCTGGTTGCAATTGCATTCCGATTGCGAATACCATTTTTTTCAGCCGAATTAAGTTCAAATCATTGGAATTAACTAAATTAATTATATCAACAATTATTTACTTCCTTTTTTCATAGAAAAATCGCTCGTGTTTATAAATTTTTAAATTTAACGAACTAATTTATTCAAATTATTGTAGACAAAAATGCAACCATGCGCCACAACCACATGTTTTTCGTGTTTGCAAATTCTTGCTGGCAAAATTTTTTCCAGCAAGAATTTGCAACTTCTCTCCAGAAGAACTGTCACTTTCCTCTCACAATTTTTGAGTGTTGGATAATTTTTTGGTCTGCACGAACGCGATTTGGGCAAAAATCGTGATAATTCGTACAAATTCGTACAAATTCGTACAAATTTTTTGCTCGACGAACAAACCTAGTAATTGCGGCTATGTGCCCGCAGTACTAGAAATACTCCGAAAAAACGAGTATACGCTTACCTGCTTGTAGCTGTTTTTGATCGCAGGCGAATCTGATGAGTGTGCTTTGATTTCGATGTAAAAAATAATTATAAACCAAGGCGAATTAATATAAGGTGATAGCAGGAGTACAAAAACAAAAATTTACATGTATTTTGTTTTTGCTTTGGCGGCATAAACTGTCAAAATCTGTAAGAGTGTGTGTAGAAATTCAAACAAAATTTTTCAATTTGATATCAGAAGCCGTGCGGCGAAACACATACACAAAATCAGCTGAGCTAGTAACACCACCTTATATAAATTCGCCTTGTTATAAACCAACTAAATACATACATACATACATATGTATGCACATACCACTTACACTAGATAGATTCTACTATTTAATTTGATCGCTTGCAATTGGAATTCGACAATTAACAAAGGTAAAAGTATGGAGGTAGACAGCGTCCATTGTACATAAGAAAATGTATTCAATCCACCGATACATTCACCAATGACTACATAAGTCATATGCGACAGGCGAGGCCATCACTTCCTTATATTGGTAATTATTTAGAGTATACATTTTTTTTTTTTTAATATGAGAGTAGTCCTGGTAACTTTTCGTCATACCGACTGCTGGACATCATTGCCACAAAACAATTATAGTTATATTGAAATTATTTATTGTATATACGAGCTTTCATTGGATATCACCCATCGAAACTTTGGAACAGTGCATTGGGTCAAGTTAATACGCTGAACGAAAAAACAGTTCGCATCTCTGGTAATTTCATGGTTTGTACAAAATATGTGTCCACTCACCACTTCGCATTAATTTTTATTACAAAAACCCAATAAAAACGTTTCTGACCATTTTTCATAACATAACAGGAGCATCGGGCAGTTAACTAATCGAGTCCTCAACTTCTATACATTGCATCTAGACCTAACGGCAGTATTATATACAAATTGCATACGATTCCATACCGCCAAAAGCAGATTTAAATCGTATATAAAAACAGCTATGTGCTTTAAAGCGTCGCAAATGTTGATCACGTCGTAATTGGTTCAAAAAATTTTTTTTTTTTTATAAATCAATAACATATTTTTAATATATATATATTTTTTTTAATACGACATTTCCAAAATATTGCCTATTGGCACTAGTAATCAGTTTTTTGCTCTCCTGAAAAGTTATTAAAAAACACATATTTGTTTTTGTTGGCGCAGCGACGATATGTACATTTGTATAAGCACACTATTTAGTTTGCTCCAGTTGTAAACAAAGCTTCTCACACAAAATTGATTTTAAGTGCTAATGAAGTGCACTAAAATTTTAAATTTTATTTTGTGGCGGCATGTTTGCTTTAGTGATGCCCTGAACTTTGTGACCTTGTTAGAATAGCGAGGGGGGTTAAGCAAAAAAATAAAAATCATAAAACAATGATTAAATGCTGATTTAAATTATTTTACTTAAGCGTGCCTACAAATATGCAATCTGAAAGATTTATCTTCAGTTTCACCAATCAATTTTCCGAACAAAATTGTGTCCTTTTAAATTTTAACAGGCTGATAAATTTAAAATTGATTGGTGCAACAGGGCATTAGAGAATGTAGCAACGGCTTGATAACTTACGTTTCGCAAATGGTCATTCGATTCAAAAAACTTTTATTGAACATGTACTTTTCGACTTTGGACATTTAATTGCAATATATTGATAAAGTACATAATATAACAAAATATAAAAATGTTTAACAATAAAAGCCTTCATAATGGAATTGAAAAAATAATGTTGCACAACACTTTGAATTCTATACCATCCTTCTACACCGGCCGCTTACTCAGTCACGCTTACTTTGGCGCCATAACTCGCACCATACCGGGCAAGATTTCCGCCTGCAGTGGACCAAATTCAATACGTTCACCATCCACAGTAAGGATGCCCTCATTGTCATAGGGTTCTATGCGAAAAGCCGTCACTGGCACCATTTTTATAAATTGATTATTAGTCGCAGGCACATGCGTGCCAGAACTCATGCCCATCATGAAGTTCAATAACTGCGAACGACTTATGCCGGTACGTATGATGACCACATAAATGATGCCGTCATTGAATTTTGCCTGTGGCACAAAAAAACAATCACTACCCAAATGTGTTTGATAAGCTGCCTGTACCATGACGAATTCACCTTCCTCCACAATCCAGTCGTCGGGTACGGGCTCCTCAAGCGTTGGCGCATTACCTGTTGGACCACAAAAATTTACACTCAAATTGCTGAGATGTAGGCGCCGCGATTCGCTGTCGCTATCACCTTCTACGCTCTGATAAATACTTTCCGAGACGGAATGGTAAGTACTGCGACAGGAGCCAGGTGAAAACCAACTGTCGCAACGTGAATGCAGTGATTGATTCAGCGAGTTTTGTAGTGAAATTACATCATAATATTTGCTTGCTTCAATGCATTCATTGGATTGAAAACAACCCCTGTTCAGTTTATCCAAACAGGTATTGCAACTTCTACTATGCTTCAATGGCAGTGGATCTGCCGCCGATAGCGATATTATATCGCTTTCCATGTAAAAATTATCCTTTGGAAGATATGACACTTTGCCCCGATATGTACGTAAACTTATAAGGCGATGTAAGGTCCAAATTGTAAATCTTTGATAGCCAAGCGAACGTAGGCGTTCGCTTTCGATATCAATATCTGAGATGAGTCCCCAACCAACGGAAAGGAAGGAATACAGTATCTGATAGAGAAGAAATAAATTGGTCCTTTAAAGTAAATTCATATAAAACTTAAGTATGTACATCTGTATATGTATTTATGCGGGAAAATTACTTGATTTTGTTGCTGTATTCGCACAACATCCATGGGAATGGATTTGCCGCTCAGCGTTGTCAGTGTAGCGCCCAAGATTGGCTTTGGCTCATATGGTTCTCTAGAATTAAACGTATAAGTAAATTTTGAGTTTTGAAAGTGAAATGAATTTATTGATACATATGTTAGTAAATAAGAATAAAATCTAATTAAAAATTCAATTTTATTAAAATCATTTATTTTTGGAAAACATTTTAGTTTTTTCGCAATATTTTTTCATTTGAAATTAATAAATGGTATCTATTACAAAAGGCAATTCGGATTTTGATGCGGCAAATGTTAAAGCTGTTTTTGATACAGTTTTTTTGGGCTCATTACGAATCCGTAAGTATAAAGTTTCCATTGGCTCCAGATTTTGAGAAAAAACGAGGTCAAAGTGTCAAAAAATCGGGTTTTTTGCAAAATTTGAAAATTCATCACTTATTTTGTTCGTCCAACAATAAAAAAATGGATAATTAAAAGAAAAGTGTCAAAATCTGTTTTGGCTGTTCAATAAATGACTATTTGCCGTATCCTGAGTTTTGCCCAAAAAAAATGTCATCCGAAAATTTTTATTCCGCCCATAATACCTAAATACATGAAAACCAAAAGTGAAAATTGAACCGGTTCGGGGAAAATTAAATTCTAGATAAGGCAGTATAAAGACTGGTTTTTTATTATGTCATTTATTGACACCAAAATTTTGCGACATATTTTGACACAACTTTATCTCCTTTATCCATACCTTTGCCGATGATAATATGGGCCCAAAAACTGATAGATAGTCGATTTCGAAGTGCATGTACACGACTAAAGACCTATGCTGATCCAATTCAATCGATAAACCGCTTTTTGATTTCATTTGACAATGTATTTTTACTTATTTGACGACAAATGCCACTGAATTTGACATAGTGAAAACCAGCCTGAAGTGACCTTAAGATCAAGGTGCAGGGATTATAGTCGAAAGTTCAAGCCTTAATTTAAGCCTAAATCATCTTTTACTTAAGTGCGGTAGGTACTGTAACTTCGCCGATATTAGTTTTCCCCGTTCAATAAATGACTATTACCTTGTTTGTTCCTACGAAAAAACCGCATTAACAAAAAGCCGATTTGATTCAACACATATTTCTTTCTAATGTTTCCTCAGTCTTTAAGGCGCACTTGATTAAACCGTATTAAAAAGTAAACAACCTCCGTTAGTTTTATTCGCCAATTTACTACGCTTTCTACTACGGTTTTCTAAAGTTTTTTTGAAAAAAGAGCACAAGGCAATCCAGGTTTGCAACAGAAATATATGCCCGTTCCATTATTTCTTGAGAAAAGAGTGAGGCAACAGGCTGTGAGGTATCAAAAATGTCAAAATTCCTTGGACACACACGCGAAATAATAGCAATTTTTTCTTGCCCGTTTTCTTGAGAGCTGCATACAGGGCTTAACAGCGCTTTATGTGCCTATATAAACAAGGTATATAACGGGTCTATTCTGCGCTGGTAATACAAATTTGTTTACCGGTATATAAAGCTCCTCTCAATTTTAAAACTCTTTTCGCATTCTTGTACTCTTGTAACCATTAAATTTCGATGGCATCTCATAAGCTGGTAATAAAGTATTGCCCCGTGAAATGTGCAATGCCAGAAATTCCACAATTTTTCATAACTGAATTGTTGAATATTTTAACTGCATTGCCAGCATATCTAGAATCGCGTTAACAAGAACTGGCAAGATTTTTTGGTAATACAATTTTCCGGTTACAAAATCTTTGGTAACGTGCAGAATAGACCTGTAATAAGTGACTACCGTTGAATTTGCAGGGGTAGTAGTCGAGGGTTTTAGAATTAATTTAATTTTTACTGAATTTTTTGAACGAATTCAAAAAAGGAATTTGCAGGGGTAGTAGTCGAGGGTTTTAGCATTAATTTAATTTTTACTGGATTTTTTGAACGAATGCAAAAAAGGAGGAAGTTATAAATTCGTCGTAAAAAATTACGTTCGTTACCGCATTACTTTGGACCACGTTAACCCATTTCGGCAATTATTTTTTTATCGGAAGGGTGGTACTGGTTTTTGTTTTTTGCGGCCTTATAACAAATATTTTCAGCAATTTTATTGAGCTTGAGGCCGTTCTTCTGCCAAAATGTAAATTATTGTTGTTTTCCACATAAAAGTTCTTTAAAAACGGCTTCAAGCCCACTAAAATTGTTGGAAAGGTGGTACCACAAGGGTGGTATCATACTACTTAAAGGGCCCATAGATGATACCAGCATGCTGGCGCCATCAAGTGTTGGTGCCAGCCGATTGACCGTGTATGTTCTTGTTGTGTGATTGTACCAGCTGCTGGTGCGAAATTAAAAACGATTTGATATTTTTATGATTGTGCCAGCATGCAGCAGCAGGATTACATGCCCCTCAGTAATTACAGCTATTACCTTACCATTTAGTATACTTTTAGGCCCACTGCTTTTCATTTAGAGAATTTTGGCGACGAAAATTTAGCGCAGCGATTGTGAGAATTCCAATACTGGTTTCGCGAATAGTAAAATTGGCTCAATTTTTTAAGTAAAAAGTATTTTGGCTTAAATTTCTGTTCACAATGTTGCAGTTGTGAATTAAACAAACCTATGTTTATCAAAATGGTAGACAAATTATAAAATGTTTGCCCTATTCCTTTCCATCTTTTCCGGACATCATTTGTAAAGAAATAAATATTGTACCAGCATGCTGATATGTTATATTGCTTCAAACTTGGTGGTACAATCACTTGACGGTGCCAGCAAGCTGGTGTCATGTATATCCCCTTTTAGGTTTTGACCCGATCATTGGATAATGAAAAAATTAACGGTACTCCTTTGCTTTTTTGCTTAAAAATTACTTGTTTAAATATAGTTCATACTATAACAAAAACTATATACATAC